CCATACTATATGCTAATCCTCCCTACCTCAGCCAGTTTCTTCATTCATCTTTTGAATTACTAAGCACTGGCCACCAAAACTCTTAAAGAGCTGTCCCTCGTTCTGCTTATCTCAAAACCTGTTTCCTACCAGCTCTACTATTTATAACCAGAGAAATCAAACTTTACAGATAGTAATTGCTGTGTGATCAGAAACACGAGCTTGCATTTTTCATCATCCACATTCAAATCTGCATGCTAAAACTTCTCTTTGAAGAAAAAGCTAATGCTTCAAAATTGTTTTTGGCCAAAGGCGTGTGGTACAAAATGAGGCAATCAGGCAGTAACTAGAAGAATGTAAGCCCTTTTAAGGCAGCTACAGAAGGCAAGTGTCTGATGAGGGAACAAACCCATTACAAAAATCTATTTTAAGAGTTCAGAAAGTGAACTATCCCCCTTGGGGGGACAGATGATTCACTCAGAAGGTAACAGAATAAATTTACCTTGCAAAAATGAAGGCCTAATTTTCTAAAGCCAGTATTTTTTCTTAGCATCTTATTTTTTCATTTTATAAAGAGAGTAAAATACAGTAAGGATAATTTACCAAAAGGCTCAAACAGCCACTACATTAAAGAACCAGAACAATTCTCAAAGAAAACTATCATTACTGAAAAACAGAACATGAAATCCTCAGTTGTAGCAAATACTCCCTTTCCCTCGCTGACCTGTTATTTGGGAATTCAGCTGTAAAAATAAACTTGCTGCTTACTTTGAAGGTAATGCTACAGGTGGGAGAAGTTAACTCATTAAGATCTGGTGGAAAAAAAAATTATTTCTATTAGTGATTTTGATTTATTTCGAGGCTGAAGGACTTGATTAAAAGTGCATAAAGAATTATACAATAATTAAAATATATTTTCATGTTCAACTAATCTACCTCTTTCAGGGACAGTTAGAGCAGCCTTCCAGTACTTGAGGGGGTACAGGAAAGCTGGGGAAGGTCTTTTAGTGGGGGCATGGAGTGGTGGGACAAGGGGTAATGGCTTTAAACTGGAAGAGGGGAGATTTAGGTTAGACAGTAGAAATAAATTCTTTTGGGGGAGGGTGGTGAAACACTGGAATAGGTTGCCAAGAGGAGTTGTGGATGGCCCCTCCCTGAAGTGTTCCAAGCCAGGTTAGATGGAGCTTGGAGCAACCTGGTCTAGTGGGAGCCATCCCTGCCCAGGCAGGGGGTTGGATCTCAGTGATCTTTAAGATCCCTTCCACCCCAAACCATCCTATGAGTCTACAAAAAGAAACTGATCATGAGTATCTGAAGCACTGGCATCCTGACTTGCTCACAGCACAGCTACATGACCTCTAGGTGCAAATGGTAATGAACAAACAAGAACAAGCTGTGTTAGTCTTGTGTGAAGCTCTGTTACCTATGATCATATTTCAATGTTTATAAAACTCATCATAAACTGAAAGAAAGTACAGGCTCAAAGGGGTAACACAGGAAGAGATAACATTGTTAGAAATAAAACGTAGTGTTGTTTTCCTATCTTAGCATTAGAAATGTAGTGTTGTTTTTGCACCCTAGTGTTAGGAAGGTAAGTTTGTTTCTGCCCCAGTGAAAAGAAACTTAATGGTGACTGAAGAGAGAAGGGAGATACCTGGGCATTCCAAGGACACTGAGGTGATTTATGGTCTAAGAAACTGAAGGACTTAGTTGGGCTCCATCTGGGGGAGCTCAGATATCTGAACATGGCATAGGCCAAGATAAAGACAGAATAAAGCCATTCCTGTTACTCCCCAGGACAGAATGGCACCAGATGGCATAAATCATTCTGGTGATTGGGAAAACAGCCAAAGGAACAAGAAAGGTAAGAAGTAAACCAGCATCAGACAGGCTGTAAACCCCGGACTACCCAGCCAGTGGGGAAACGGGAACTTTGTGCCTGGAACAGGGAATATAAACAGTTATTCACCTTACTATCAGGTGTGCCTACTTGTTTAGGCCACCCATTCTTGCAAGAGTGTAAATGAGCTGTGTCTTGCTGAAGGGTCTGTTAGGGCCTGTTTCTCACAACATGAAGCCACTCATGCTCTACCAACCTGTTTGGCCTATTGCAGTTTTTGCAAGGGCTTGAAAAAAATCTTCTCTTGTTGTCCTGAAAAGTGGGGACCATCACCCCGTGTGCAATAAGCCAATTCATACCAAGTCAAGCTATTTGTTTTAATATCCACTTGTGCACAGAAAATGGAGCAGGGTGGTATTCCACAAAGCAAACTCAACTTCCCAAAACATAAGGGTCACTTTTATACACAGAAACATGTAAAATTACTTTAAATATATTCTATCACATGCATATATACATGATTGGTTAACCAATTTTTCTGTTTCATTTAAAGTCACAGTTTGTAAAAATCTCACTATGCAGGCTTTTTGCTAGTAGGGGTCTGTCTAGGCTATGAGTGGCTATTTTAGTATACTTATAGCTCTTTAATATGCTAATGATATGTCCCATTAGTCAGTGTTTCCTACCCTGTGCTCAAGGCACAATAGCCAAGAGAAGTTGTGGTGAGTGCTCCTTTCCCCACTGTTCATCTGTCTTGCAGACTCATGTCTCAAGGACAGGCTGCTGACTACCTGGGACATGTTTTTATCTAATTCTTGCCGTTTCAGTGTAACACAAGCTCTTTTTCTTCTGCGTGCCTCTTTGTTCTTTTACTTGATTTTCCCTCCCAAATTTTACTTATTTGAATTAATAACCAACATCTCTCTGGCAAAGTTGGGAGCAGAGGACCTTTTTCCCCACCTGCCTTCCAAAGAAGTGTCCATTTTTATTTATCTCAGGAGCTGCTGCAAACTTGTTCAGACAAACTGAGCCTACAGCACCTCTTCAGGTCCTGAGACACCATCACTGAATTAAACTTCAGAGCACTTTGAATGCACTGTGTTCTGCTGCAAGTGTGCTGCAGAAATACACACAGCATTTTCAAGGGTCTTGATGCTGGGATTCTTTTTTTCTTGTTGGGTTGGTTGGGTTGGGTTTTTTTTTAAGATTTTTTTTTAAAGCAGGTGTTTCGAACATGAGCAGAAATTTTTTTTTCACCTTCTGTGAGGGCCCTCCGGACCTACTTTGGGAAATGGTGTGAAACCCGATTGTAATCCCTGCTCGTATGCATCCCAAAAGGCCTGCCTGGAAGAATGGAGACTGCAGGAATGGCCTGCATACGGCCTGGGGCCTGCATAGATGAGATAAGGACAACGACTGACAACGATCGAGGGGCAGGTCCACTCCAGCTGCTCACACATGTAGGGCTCAACCACACTACTCGTTGTGAAGTCGATTCTAGGCCTATAAAATAGGGGGGCTGCAATGATGGGCTTGGGGAGTTTCATCAACACTGACCACAGACACCGACCCTCCCCCGTTGGCTGGACCAAGAACGGTGATTTTCCTGTCCTCGTCATCTCTCTCTTTCTGCCCTCGCCTTCTGTTTAGGTTGTTCAATATTAACTCCTACTAGTGTAATAAATGTGTTATTTGTTACAAACAGACCTTGTGTGTCGCTGCACCTGAATCTGATCAAGGGGGATTGGACGGTCGAGCTGTTACTCGGACCATTATACGTTTACTCTCTCTGGGAAGAGACCAGGTCTGAGAAAAGGATTTTGGGCCTGGCTCCTCTCTGAAGGAAGTCTAGAAAGCAAGGGGGATCCGTCCTAACCTCACTGGGCTGCCCAGTGTGAGCTGTGACACGTGCAGGCCTGGATCCAGCCGCCCCTGGCTCCTCTATTGCAGAGGGAGTCCAGGTCTGACCTTCCTGGGTGATCAAATCCGGGCCGTGTCACCTCCAGCGCCCAGCGCTTCAAACCTGCGCTGGGCCTCGGGCTGGGGGAAGCCCTAAGGCCCCCCCACCCCCGCAGGAAAGCGAAACCCGAGTTCCCCGGTGACAGAAAAGGGGAACCGGCGCTTTCCTGAACAGCGAGGGCTTCAGCTGGCGCCCGGCGCTGCGGCTTCGGGATGGAAAGGCGCTCCGCGGGCGGGCAGCATGGCCG